GAATGCGCCTCGCCTGCTGCAATAACGATCGAAATGCTATGCTGTTCTAAAAACTGTGTAAAACGATCTGAAGCAAAACCTGAACTATCGTCTGTCCGCAATTCTCCCATGGGTCCAAATTGTCTGATCCAGCCACGCTCAACTGCCTTGATCAGCTCCTCTGCCGTCTCGGTCTTGATGGTACGTAGTGCCCAGTAGCGCGTGGCCCCGTCTATCATCGAAAGAACTGCCGTATTGCCGGTACTAGTCTTGATCCAGAAGACGTCCGTATAGACGATCTCGTTGAATTTGGTGGCTTGCTTTGCTGACGCATTGGGTTCTTTTGGTGGACGTTGTCTGGCCGTTCAGTGTTCGCACCGATACTCCGATGCACGCTCTAGGATGTTGTCCTGGGCGCCTGCCTGTTGCAGTAGACGATGTAGTACTGCTGGGTTGGCGTGTCCCATGTTCCGGTGAAGTCTCTTGACGTAGCGTGGTGCCTCCGTGCCGTACTGCTCTCGTAGGCGTGCGTGTTGGTGAGTTTCACGACTTGAGTCCGAGTGCTCGGGCTTGGTACCTTCCTCCGAGTGTTGAGTTCTCCGCTGCGTAGATGTCCTCGATCTCCGGCTCGACCATAACTTGCGCCATCGTCGCTGTCAAGATGAACGGGTAGACCTCGGTGGGCTTAGTGAACTTTCGTCCCTCCAGTAGGTCGTGTCCGTGTGATCTGTCGCATCGCTCATTGAGTACAGCTGCCATGAGCTTCTTGGTCGTTTTAATCGTTGTCGGCTTCTTGACCATGTTCGTGCTGCCCTCGATCGCATGGCCGTACATGTATTGGTCGAGCGTGTTGTTCTCGCCGTGTAGGCGGCTGAACGCCACGGTGTGCCACGCCCTCGACGTAGCTGGATGTTCGATGTGAGCATGTCGCCCTCCTTGCTGCTATATGCGATATACCTTGGCCACGAACTGTAGATGTACTCGATCATGCGATTCTCGTAGCTCGGCGAGGTACTCCTTCCAGCCGGGGTGCTGGTGGATGTTGAGCTCCTGCATGTTGGGCCAGGGTCCGCACACTGGTGACAGATGAACCTCGTCAGGCTGCTCCTCCATCAGCTTCTTGAAGAATGCCTTCTGATGGTCCTCCTTTGTGGAATCCCAGCCAGTATTGAGCCCAAACGTCTCCACGCGTGCTCCAGGATCTCGAAGTGCCTGTGAACATCTGGCTTCTCCAGCGTAGACTTCCCATATCGTCCGTCTCGTAGTGCATCGTTTGTGAGCTACTCTCCGCATGGTCTGTAAGTACTGCTCGCTGTCGTGCTTTACGGCTTTGTCGATCTTCTGAACGAAGTTGGTCGAAATTTGTTTGACACCGTCGTCGGGGTCGTCGTCGGTGTTGAAGTTGACTTCGTCCGCCGTAGGTGACAGTAGGCACCAGCATGGCTCCGATAGCGTGGTGTCGACTGGCTCGATGGCTGTCGTAGTGAAACACAGGTTGTCACATGAGGAACTCTGCTGACACGGCCACTGCTTCATTTAGGCCTTGCAGCAACTGATCTGTACTACGCGTCGGGAACAGCCTTCTGTATGAGGTCGCCTTTGTGGTTGCTCCTGCTGTTCACCCGTTTCGCTGGAGTCCGCCAGGTAGGCGTTGTCCAGAAACTCTAGGCCGCTCATGGTTTCGTTCCGGGGTCCAGGAACTGCGCTGCATCGACGGGCTCGTACTCGAAGTCGTTCGTGTGGTGACTCGTCTTCCCGTCCAGCTCCTCTACTAGGTCCACCGTGTAGTGTCCTTGAGGTGATAGCGTTGCGGCCTCGAACTCGCCGCCGTTCCACGCAACTGTCTGCTTGGCGTAGTCGACCTGAACTCCGAACACTTCCAGCAACGGCCTCGGAAAGAGGATGGGTGTACGTCCCGGTGCCACATACATGTAGAGTGTGTTTGACTTCTGCTTGAAGCTGGCAGGTATTGTGCCACACCACTGCGCATATTCGATCTTGCCGTTGCCGAACCGAAAAGGCCGTCGGCACTTGTAGAACCTGAGGTCCTCGATGGGATAGCCCTTCTGCCTGCAGTCCCTCACGTAGTCCTTGGTCGTCTCCGAGCCGGACATGAGGGTCGTCGCTCCACAGTCCATGACTCCGTTCCTCCTGGTATTGCGCTGGGGGTGGCCTTGCTATGACACTTGTCGTCCCAGTAGACCTCATCGACCATCAAGCTGTCGTCGGTGTGCACCCGCTTCTTGTTGGGTGGCTTGGTGCAGTTCTTAGCCCAGTTGGCCGGGCTTGCCGCGTCGTAGGCAGTTGGCCGATGGTGTTGATGTCCATAGGGTCCGACGGCGTAGGTCGTGGTCTGCTGTATGCGGCTGGAGGGGATGATCCTTTTGGGCTGCCCTTTCTTCCTTTGGACTTGCCGCGTCCCTTGGTGCCTGTGCTGCTTGACCGGCCTCGTCCGTCTGCTGCTTGACCGGCCTGCTTGACCGGCCGAATCTGAGCTTCCGCCTACCATCGCCACTACCAGGTCGTTGAACCGTTTCCTGGCGTCCGCGTAGGCCGCGTAGACTTCGTCGCACTCGCCTGGGTCGAGCTCTTGCGCTGTGTTGGGGTCGTGCTGGTAGTAGCTCTCGTCGCAGTCGTACCAGGTCTCGTCATCCTCCGCCCAGTGCGTCTGGTCGAGGTCGTCTGGCTCGTCCTCCGGCTCTCCAGTATAGAATTTCTCGTCATAGTACTCCGTTGTGTCCTGGTCGACGAAATACTGCTTCCGTGCGTGATTCGGCTCGTGCATGATGCTCTCTTGCCCGAACCTTGTCTCCAACGCCTCAATAACCTTTTCCTGTGTGATATCCTTGCCAACTACCGACATGATGACCGCCTTCTGGTCCGCGCTGTATCCTCCTCGTCGTAGCGTGAGCCAGCTTCGGACCTTCGCCGGGAGCGCGATGTCGTGCGTCCTGAGCTCGCGCTCTGCAGCGCGTGCTTTTGAGATGTAGGCGAGCAATGTCTCGCCCTTGTGCCGCTTGAGCTTGAAGAAGTACTCCTCAAAGTCGTCCGCGAGCTCCGTCCAGTCATCCATCTTGAAACGATTCCGTAATCTGGCCATGAGCTGCTTCGCCGCGTTGGGCTTGATGATCTCGTCTGCTGAGAGATCCTCCACTTCGTCCCAAGCTTCGCCTGTGAGACCTGCGCTGAGAATGAGAGCTGCTTCGCCCTCCTTCTTCTCCAATGTGATTTTCGCAATGGAAATCATCGCCCGCTTCTCGTAGTCTTTCCATTTGCTGAGCGTGCCGTCGAATTGTGGAACTCCTCGCTCTGGTAACATGTCCGCCATTGGCTTAGACATCCTGCCCTTGTCTTTGAAACCGACTGTGAGGTCGGGTGTGTTGGCTGCCGAGAAATTGACGTGACAATCTCCTCTGATATTTGCTGTGAACTCGCTGAGATCTGCTGGGACCTCGAAGCTGCTTATGGAGTTGGCGACCAGATCCGAAGAGAGGTTGCTGAGATATGGAACGGCGAAGCGTGAACCTGGCTTACCAGGCTCCGCTACCAATATGAACTTATCACAGCTCCCGAAGTCTTTGATGGCAATGATAATAAGAAACCAGAAACACATTTGAGATGTTTCCACACCGCTGCTGCGCTGACTCAATGGCCCTGAAAAAGGTTTGGGCCATAGTGCAACGGTACGCTCGCTATGCTACCGTCGTGCTCTGCACAATCTGCACAATGCACAAGATGTACAGCGTATAGCTAACACCGCCAGAACCAAGAGTGAGGATGGTTTCTCGGGCTTCGTGATCCTACATCCGTACACGTACATGCCTACATGCGACTTGCCCGGAATATCTGTTATTATCACCCTGGCGCCCCGATTTTTATTATCCGCAAGGTGTGACTATCACCGGCACAGGGTTACACCTTGGGGTCCCCAAGTGGTGTGGTCACCACACCGTGTGGTGTGTCAGTTGCGATTCGGGGGGTAGCTTAGAGGAGGAAAAGACATTGATACCGCTACCCTTCGGCCATTTCCACATCTTTCGGCCTCCCTGGAGGCCTTCGTCGCCACGGTTGGATTCGCTTCGAAGTCCTGGTCAGAACGCACCCTGGGAGAGGTCCGGCGAATGCGCTTATAATTCTGCTGAGGATGACGGCCGGTTGCTTGACTAGTGTCGATCGGACCAACCGTGCTCAGGGTAGATTTCTGCTGCGCAAGAATCGAGGGAGTGATCGAGGAGCTTCATATCGCACGTGTGGACGGACGACTGGTCGAGATCAACAAGGACAGAGAGGCGCTTCCCACACCGCACGGGTTTAGGACTCGGGTCGTTCTCCGAGGACGTCTGGGGCGATTGGGGTCTCCAGGTTCGTAAGGCGGTGGCTCCTCGGCCGAGCCCGCCGCTCGGCGTGCGCTGCGGGCCTGCGACCATTAGTTCTGGCGAGCACGAAGGCGAGCAAGCGTACCATAGGTAAGGCTTTTTTTAGCTCTGGATTCCCCGGCAGTCGCCTGTCTGATTCACTGCCTTTGTCGCGGGGGCCGCGCTGTCAGGGTTGACGGCTTTTGCTCTGCCGCAAAAGTTGACAGATGCTGTGGAGGGGGTGGGGAGGGCGAGCTTCGAGGTTCTGGGTTCAGGACGGTCTCTCGCTTTTTCGGTTTCCGATAGCACCTATTTGGCTCCAGGGCAATCGGAAACGGATCTGGGGTGAAACATTGCGTCAGGTGGACCCCTGGAAGGATCCTTGGACCAATGTTTTGCGGATTGAGTTTTACCCCGTTTTGACTGATTTTTTCGAGGCCCATCCAGTTCAGACCGTCTGGCCGCCTCCAAGCTCGGCGTGTGCTGCGGGCCTGCGACCATTCGAGCGAAGCAAAAAGGGTTCCAATGAGTAGGCCTTCGCGCGCAAGTTACCCGCGTAAGGTCTCGCGTGAGCGCCCTCGTTTCCAGTGTAGCGCGCCGCGCTGGCGGGCCGCGTAAGCCACCGCGTAAGGTCGCTATGCCAGCGCGTTTAAGACTCGTTTGTTTTCGTCGCTCATTTGCGAACCTTACCACTACGGATCCAAGGCACGCTGGGGTATCGGACATCCCCGCTGGGGTCCCACTTGGCTGCGGGTGCCCCTCAAAGTCTGAGGCCACGCGTTGTTTTGCGGCAGAATCTGGTCTGCAAGGGTAGGTTTGGCAACATGTGGTCGCCCAGCGCCCCCCCCCCTGGCGCCTTGAAAGGGACGGGCGCCCGCCGCGCGGGGGGGCGAGCCCAGGGCCTCTTCAACCGCCCGTCGCCGGCCGACGCTGGGGGCATACACCGCGAGGCCTCGCGCGGGCGCGCTCGCCGCTGCCCCTGCGTCGCGCCTGCGGGCGGCCGGCGGGGGAGGGGTGGTTCGAGGGCGAGGAGGGATGGATGAGGAGAAACCAGGGCCAGAGGAAGCCCAAGATGCATCAACGACGCTGCCATTACGGTCCCCAGGTCCCCGCCTCGTAGGTCACTGAAAGCATTCCTGCTCACTGCAGGAAGCGTCTCCGTGAAAGACAAGCACCCCATGGGTTGGAACAGGATGGGGGTTTGCTTGCGAGCGTGTCGAGAGGGCATGGGGTGCAGGCCCAGGCCTTATGGTGAGTTCCAGGAAATATTGCGACACAGATTTTCGATGATCGAGACACTCTGTCTGACATTAGGTTTGCCGAGCGGTCGTGTCGGCTTGTGACAACGCCACTGTGCTTGAGACACACCGTTCCCTGGTTTACGCGCGTGCGTTGCGCGATGTTTTAGGCGCGTCTTGACGCGCATGCACGTTTGCTATAGTCCGCCCGTCTTCCGTCTGGCCCCCCTGGAGAGATGGAGGATGAACGGGGGGATGGGAGGCGGCTTTAAAGGCGGATGATGCCGACGAGTGGTCAGGCTGGAGGAGGATCGTGCGAGGATGTTGTGGGTGGGAGGTGCGTAAGGATCATGTTCTGGAAACGCTTTGGTAGTCGTTTTCCTGGCACCATAAATTATGAGGGGTTTTCGCCCTGGCATGATCCCCGTGCTAATCAATTTTCGAAGAGCATTCGACGTCGCACCGTCGGCTTTGCTTGGTTGGCGCGGTGCATCCATCTATCTACGTGTACCCCCCTGGGCGCCGTCGCACCGATGCAGCTGCGCAACTTTTGTCTATCTATCTGCCCCCCCCCCAGCGCCGTCGCACCTTCGACTTGGTTCGACTGGTGGCGTCCATCTGCTTATCCATCTGTGCCGCGCCCGGTCGCCGTCGCACGGTCGCAGATTTGCATTCGATTTCTTATGCAACCACCTCGTTCGTTCCTACTACAGTATTAGAGCACTCCCTCTGCAAGTAATGATAGAGGACGACTCTTACGAATGAGGTGAGGTGAGCTGTGCCATACGCCCTACGGCGCGCCGGCGCGGCGTGCATCAGCACTCAAGCGAGCTCGAAGACGTGGGCACAGCTGCTTCGCCCACTCCAACCAGGGGGCGCCGATGTTCCGAACGTGCATATCATTGACCGGTATCATGGTTCCCCGGTAGAACACCGCGTTACGTAGCGGACAGTGGTCACCTCCCTGGGCGGCTTTGCAATGTAGATCCAATTGGTGTTGCAGCAGCATGTCAGTGGCGAGCTCCTGCTTCGTTATCCGGCGCACCTCGTCATTGGAGACACGGGAGATCATGGAATGCTTGATACCAGCGACACATCTCAGCATCCAGGCCTGTGCCCCGTTCATCCGCCTCCGCTCTGCAGCATTCAACCAGACTGCGCTGATGCTGTACAACAGCTTGGGCATCACAATACCGTTGAGCAGCTCCACTTTCCTGTCTAGAGAAATCGAAGTATGGCCCCAAAGCTGCTTCATGCTTCTGACAGCGGCGAAAGCCATGCCGATCCGTCTCATTATTTCTCCACTCGCTCGCCCGTCGCTGCTGATTGTGGTTCCCAGGTAGGACAGCGTGTCTGTAGCCTCGATGACTTCCCCTGTGGGCGTGCGAACGATCCCACCGCATCGAACCCTCAACAGTTGTAGTTTGCCCCAGTGCATCTCCAGACCCACGTTGGCTGCAGATTGGCACACTGCCTGGAGCCACCGTTGAATGTCATCAACTGTCCTGGCCATGAGCAGAGTATCGTCTGCGTAAACTAGCTGCCTGTATTGTCCCGGCGGCGACGGCTGCATTAGTGATTCCGCGTCCGTCATCACCACGGTCATCACCATTATGAAGAGATATGGCGAGAGAGGGCAGCCCTGCGAGATGCCGGACCGCGGGCTCTTCTCCTCGGAGGTGACCGCCCGGTCGCGGACGACGAAAGTGCGTTCTTCGTAGATGCTCCGAATGAGATCAAGAACGAAATTGGGAAGCCCGAGCCTTTCCAGGGCCACAAGCATAGCATTGATGTTGACTGAATAGAAGGCCTGCTTCCAGTCAAGAGCCAGAACATAAAAGGTTTCCACCCTTTAATGCCCACGCCTGCTCGATACGCCTCCGCAAAATGCAGATTGCGTCCAGGGTGCTCTTCCCGCCGCGGAAACCAAACTGGTCTTTGGATAGCTGGTCGTCTGCTCCTGCTTCAAGGAGCCGCGTGAGTACGAGGGAAGCAAAGATCTTGTATCCAAGCGAGAGCAAACTGATTGGTCTGTAGTTGCTGGGAAGGTCCGTGGCGCCTCTCTTGTGAATCGTACTGATCACTGCTTTGTGCCAGCCCTTCGGTGTCTCGCGCCGCCTCCAACACCTGTTCATGGATCTGGCAGTGATGGACAAACATTCATCATCTTCCACAAGCATCTTCCAATACTCCGCCGGGATATGATCCTCTCCTGCCGCCCAGTTGTGTTTCAGCTTGCGGACGGCACACCTGACTTGGCGATGTCGGGTCCCTCCCCCGCCAGGAAACAAAACCAGGGCCTCGACAAATTGGTTTTGTATTTTTTTACCATATTGATTGGTGGGAACAAATGCGGTCGTCGCCGCGCGCTTGCCCTGATTTAGCAATGTCGGTCGACGGACGCACGCGAAGCGCGCGAGTTTCCTTCTCATAATTGTTTCTGCCGTGTGCCGCGTTTTCATGACGCACGTGCCACGCCTTGCCTTTTCAGACTCAATCGCTCGTACTAGTGCGCGGACCGCATGCAGGCCGCAGTCCACGCGCGCTAGCGCGGCGCACCGCAGCGCGCTTCGAAACGATGTTGGGCACAATGGCATTTTTACCGCAACGCCGCGAATTTGTTAGCCACCCCGCGCGGGTGACGCCGAACGCATGCGTGTCCCACCGCATGTGCGCCGCCGGAGCTAATTTTTCGATTTCGATTGTGAATTGTATCGCGGGCGCGTGTCAGGCGCCCTCGACGTGTCACCTAGGCCCGCACATTGGGCGCCCACGCATCATGTCGGAAACATGTCATCTTACTACTCTCGCGTTCGCCGGGCGACTCGCGGTCCTAACGGGCGCGCGGTAGCATTCTGCGGCGAAGGGGGGGGCGTGGCGGCGCGGCGGGGGAGGGAGAGGAGGGGGGGGAGATTGGCAGGAGGAGGAGGAAAATTATGAGGAGGAGGAAGAGAGCGAGGGGACATGGTGGCGGGCATCCCCGACTTCAGCTTGCCTGGTCCAACCCTTCGGGGGGGGCGTCGTTCGGCCGGGGCGAGCGCTGCGTGGAGTTCGCCCCAGGAAGTTCCCATCGGAAATTGGGGGGGGGGAAGGCGTTGGTGTTCCGATGCCTGTGGCGAACCCCGCCGCTATGCCGGCGCTGTGGGTCGCAAGCCTTTTGGATGTTGGTGCAGGATTCGCTTTTTTTGTGTGAGGGGATTTCCAAGGTGCCTTGGGTGCTTTCGTGCAAAACTTGCAAAGCCTCGTGGACGTTCTCGGCGGCGTCATGGGCCTTCAGGTGGCACTCGTGGGAGCCTCGCAGGGGCGTCGAGGAGAAATCTGGGCCCTGCTGCGGACAAGTTGGGGCTGGTGGTTGCAACGATGTTTCACGGTTTTCCCTCATCTTCCAACCCTCTCCCTTTATCACCCTTTTTTCCTCCTCCCTACTACTTCGTCCACCCCCCCCCCTGCCCCATCCCTCCCCTTTTCCTTGGCTTTCCCCCTCCCTGGCCCTCCCTCCCCCTTTTCCACGTCTTCCCCTCCCCCTCCCACCTCGCCCTACTAATTCGCCCCCCCTCCTTCCGGCCCCATCGTTTCTCTTCCCCTTCCCCCTTCCTCGTCGACGCCCCCCTCCTTCCTCCCTCTTCTCCCTGTTTTCCGTTCCTGCCCCTCCCCGTATAGTTTCTTTCTTTCGGCGCGCCCAACACGTCGTTCCGTGGCCCCAAAGGGGGCCCCACCGGAGGCGCCAGTGGCAGGGTCCACATGGCGACGCCGCTCCATTTGAGCGCACCCATCAAACGGCTTGCGGCCCCATAGGGATCTCCACCGCAGACCCCAGCGGCAAGGTCCGCCATCTTGACAGCAGGGGGGAACTCTCGGGGCCCCTCTTGGGGCTCTCTTGGGGCCCTCTTGGGGTTATCTTGGGGCCCTTTCGGTGTCTTCAGAGGCGCGTGGAGAGCCCCGGGACGGCTCCGAGAGGGCCCCGCGAGGGGCCCTGAGCGTCCCCGGCCCCCCTCAACCACCCTCATTATCCTTCCCCCTCCTTTTCCCCGTTTCATCCACGCCTTCCGACTCATCCTCCTCTTCGCCGCGTTGCCCCATCCCCCCCTCATTCGCGCGCAGCCCCCATTCCACCCCTCCCCGCCAGCCCTCCTGCCAAAGGAACCTGGCTGTCGCTTTCGGCGACGCACCAGCGCCTTCGGCGAACCGCGCTGCCACGAAAGCGCTGCGCTGCGCGGCGCGACCTCGTGGATGCACCAGATCGCTTCGACAAACAGCCCAACCAAACTGACCGACAAAATGCCCGCCCGGACCGTCGAACAAATTTGCCGCGGGGTCCAGGGGGGCGCACCCTAATTGTGAAATTGCAATGAATCCGCCCCGCAGCGAAAGCCAGGAACGATTTTGTCGCGACACTTTCTTGGGTCGGTCCGATTTTTTGGTCGCGGCCGTTTTTTTTTTTTGTCGGCCCACCTTTTTTTTGTCGGCCCATTTTGTCGGGCCGATTTTTTGTCGTTTTTTTTTTTGTCGGGGCGGTTCGGTTTTTTGTCGGCCAATTTTGTCGGGGCGATCGTTTTCTGTCGGCTGTGCGCCGCCCGCAGCGCATAGGCGCAGGGGGGCCGACGGGTCGAATGGCAGCAAGGGCGCGCGCGCGCAACGCAGAAGGACCGCAATAGGGAACGCGAGCCAGGGCAGGGCAAAAACAGCACGGGGCGGATGCGAGAGCGGCGGCA